CCCCGTCCTCTCGCAGTGAGGCCCTCATTGTCACTCCTTTCCGTACACTGATGCCTCGAGCCTCTATGCGTGCCCTTTGCATGCGCTGGCGCCACGCCCGCTGGACAGGGTTTGTCGAGCATTCTCGCCACCGCAAACCCCGTAGTCGGGAGCTCGGACGCAGTCTCGTCCATTGCAGTTGCCAGACTTATTTTCTGTCATTCCACCGTATATGAATTCTCCTATTGCGACACAATGATGGGAGGTAAGAAAAAAAAGTGATCGAGATGCGGGGGATTTGGTGGGTGAGAGGATTTGCCTTGGAACTGTGCAGCCGCTGATTGCGACTTATGGCGTGGAGGGGGGTGGGGCCCATTACAACTCAGGGGCTAGGACTTTGAGTTAAGTAGTTTGCGGGATGAAGTAAGCTTTACAGCTTAGCATTTGCGCCATGCTGCAAGCTCCTTCACCACAAATGAACCGTATGGTCAGCACCAGGAACCGCGCTCTTTTTTCGATTACCTGACAACTGAGGCTCCTTATGTCGGTGGCACCCAGAGCCTTGGTTCAGCAGTTTGGCTCCCAGCCATCAACCCTCGGCGTTGCCCAACACATAGGGAAGTACATGGGAGTTATGAAGGGACAAACGGAGCATGCAGTGGGCTTGCAGTCTGTTGCCTTGGTACTTCTAACGACGGCAGAGGTTCAGGACTGCTTTAATGGGGCTCATGGGCTCCTGGATTCTGATCATACTGCGTGTCAACTTCCTGAGCCTGATGATCAATGCGGGTCTGCATCAAAGTGCTTCCTTTGATTGTGCCTGTTTTTGCGCTTGGTGTCATATGGTTTCCTTCAAAGGGGTTGGTGCTGATTCATTCGTTCAGGGGCTTACGCACAGAATCCCAAGCCCTGAGCTCCAAACTTTCGACTAAAAAGAAAAAGGCCTGCTTCTAAGCTTGAGGCCTGAGGTTTGCAGCCTTGGTTGGTTGTGGTTTGCATGTGATAGAGGGTCCTTGAGGCTGAGGGTCTAGTCTCGACCCAATACCTCAAGAACCGTAACCCCAAATCAAAGCCCAAAGCGTGAAAATCCAAAACCCGCGAGACCCTGTCGCCCCCCACCATGCAGAAATTTTCAAGAATAAATTCCTACACAATTGGTGCAGCGTTCTGGATCCGTCCTAGTGCTGGTTAAGGTCATCCATGAGGTCTGGCATGTCTGAAAATGAACTTTCCGTTTGCAAATGCAAGATCTACTAGTAGTGGAGATATCATCCGGATTATCTCAGAAGTAGGAGAGTTCTTTTGGCAATCTAACCCAGCCAGCGATGCCTTGGACCAAGGATAAAGCTTAGACCGCAAGCCCAGGAGAGGACGTTCCGGAAGATTTTGGAAAGCCTGACCTCCTGCCCGAACATCGAGCTGGAGCCATTTCTACGAGGGTTAGGGGTTCAGGATCCAGGGTCTACAAGGAGGCTTTTGGGGCTTAAGGTTAAAAGAGGGCGTTTAGGTTGGGTCTACCCCTCTCTTGTATATGCACAATGATAACCAATGCTAACCATCCTTGAATGGGCTAGATAATCCATGAGTCAAAAACCAGTTCTGCTCCTTGCAGCACAATAATCCGTTCATAGTCCGGCAACGTCCCGGTTGCGTTTTGACCTGTTTGAGCCTTTGTGTTGCCCCAGTGTATCACCAAAATCGTCCAGTTTTTGCGCGCAGTGGCTCTTAAAAGACACAACCTTGAATCTTGAGAAAGTTGCACAGCTCGAAGGCCTAAACTCCCAATTGCAACATTTTGCAATTGCTGCAACTCCGCCATTCCAACGGACCTCGAGCACACAGCTTTCAGAAGCTCCAAGACCCGAAGCACGACAGCCTGTAGATTTCTAGAAGCCCTTGGACGCGCAAAAACCTCTGGGCCCTTAACCCTTAAATCCAACTGCCGATCCCCAGCCCGAAGCCCCACCGCAACAAGGAGGCAAGGGGCTCCCTGTTTCGAGCCGCCAGCGCTGCGCTGAAATCCTTTGCGTGGCCGGCGCGCTACGAGCTCTACCTGGGAGTTGCTCGTTAATGGAACTGGGTAGTGGGTTAGGGTTTAGGGCTTCAGATTTCGATTCTTGGGATTGGAATTTAGGGTTGGAAGAGGAATGAGGTACGCTTTTTCTGGCGATGGTTCTGGTTTTGGGGCGAGCAAGTGTAGGGATTCTCAGGAAGCATATGTACGCGGAGTCCATATGAGGGCACCATGAGGATGCATTTTACCTGGAACGACGGAATCCCATGGTCACCGTTGTCTTGACGTTCTGAGTCCAGGGTGTCGGAAAACTGATTCCTGGGTTTTTCGGAAGAGCAAGAGGTGCCAGATTTCCTCCAGCAGCAGGTAATACAGGGTACGCGCATACTGCGAGTAAGCATTTGTCTTGTATGTGTCATTGAGTAGGGCAACTTATGGGGTTACGGAAACAAATCTGAATAGGAGGTGTTCACAGAGGCTGAAGATGGCTGAAGTGACTAGAATATGATCTTGAGGTATGTTTGAGGCATCTCATGCTCGCAACGTGCTCTCGTGGAATTTGGATAAGACTGTATTCAAAATAACGGCACGAACGTGGTTCGTACACGGCTACATAGGGATGAAGTATAGTATGTCTTTGGATTGTCTCGATGCACATAGGCGATTCACAGTTTTGGCCTTTTCTCGATGGGATCAGGGAGCCTTCTTTGATGACCTGAAGGAACTCTTCTGTTTTTTTGGGCTTACTTGTTTGAGCATATAACGGTACATGTTACAACTTGAACTGTACAGGAGCGAGCGTCAAACATACCAAGCGGGCCTCAAAGGCGGGAGTATCAAAGAATTGATGATCATAATTTATGCCACATGATTACCAAGGTCCTAGCTTTACAAAGACTCAGGGTTTGCGGGAGCATGACCAAGAGGCGACCGTGTAGAGAAGATCTGGAACTTGGAATTGCTTGTTGGTCCCTGGGTCCTACAATGTGACAAGTGATCGGATAGAATGACGGCTGGCGCAAAAGTAGGCGCATGACAAACTCAGGGAAGGAACATGGTGTGGTCAAGGCATGCTCGAAGTCTCGAGGGAGCCAATTAAGATATTGAGATATTCAATCTGCAGCTCCCAGTACTGCATACTTGCCACCAATCCAAACTACCAAGACCCGAACCTACCTTTGCTTGAGGTACTTGAGGCCCTTGAAGGGTTACATAGGTCTTTAGCTTTAGGCACGGCTTGGCGTTTTTAGCGCACGCAGAGTGTAGAGCTCCTTGAACGCGAAGGATGGCACCATTTGATGGCAGAAATCTTGCTCCTTTTGTGTGGGACGCAGGTGTATACTGTATAATATATGGGATTTTAATGTGACACACGATTCTTGCATTGTCAGTCTGCACTCTATTCTGCCAAGGTCATAAAGAATAGCCGGATTGATGCCGTGATTGGGAGCGTGGTGACATTGTTCAAGGACTGGCCTAGGAGAGTTGCTGCGAGTCAGGGTTTTTGGCGTACAATAGCAAGGGTAGCTTGGCAAGTGTTTGCGTGTGAGAATGGTTCATCTCTTACATATATGTTCGCGCCCCAGTGCATCCCCCCCTCCTTCCCCCTTGCTATGGTGGCTACCTTCTAGGCGCTAAGTTAGGATTAAAGTATTACCCCGCACCTCCCACCCCTGGTCCCGTGGCCTGTGGAGAGGGTTTATAGTGTTTGTGGAGGTAGAGTTAAAAAGCCCATTGCCGCACCCCCTCTCTGTGGTCCTGTGGCCTGCGGTCTAGATTTTGTGGTTTTATAGAAGGGCTTCAAAAAGATGAGGACCACACCAATCCCTGCGACCGTGAGTACTTTTAAAAGGCGACGACAACATGGTTGCGAGGATTGCAAGAAGTACCACCCTGATCCCTGTGACTGTTGGTACTTTTGAGATGCGACGAAAGCACGAGGTGCCGACAGGTATGAGGATGGCGACTATGAGGCGCTGAAGATGATGACAGTTATGAGGATTGGGCTCCATCCCTGTGACGGTCGGCACTTTTGCAGCATGCCAGGGGTGTGGTGGGAAGGGACGCCAGGGAACGCACAGCGCAGTAGCACATTTCCTCGATCCACTGCGCTTAGAGTTTTATGGGTTCAAAGTCCTGAGCTTAGACCACGAGATCCTAGTCCAACGTCATACAGCGGTAGCCTTCCTCTCCATCCCGTCATCTTTGAGTTTGGAACTTGATTAATGATGGGTCTTAAATGCATGGATGCTCGACTGGGCTTCTGGGAGGATGACTGGTGGAAGCGAACTACCGAAACTGCCTTATTCAATGGCATGCTTTTCTTCTGTTTCGGTCGGCTTCGCTGCACGCTCACAGCTTTTGTTTAGTGAAGGTTTCGAGGCGTACGGAGATCTTCGTTGAGGCATGTAGTCATGTTGGACGTCCGTTAGTTAATCAAGGGTCCCCTCATGGTGTCTTTTGCCGCGCGTGCAATGCCTGAAGGTTCTCTCTAATGTGTTTTGGTTGTGGGGTCCCATCGAAATCCAGACCATCCCTCTTAAATCAATCCCCAGAGCCCTCAGAACCATGGGTAGCTTGAAGAAGGACTTAATTTTCTGGCACTTGTTTTGTTGAGGGTGGGAATATGCAAATTAAAGAGGACTCCACATTAAGGGTCCTATCTCCAGCCCTTCAAGTTTTCCTCCTCCCCGCATCTCATCTTCAGGGCTTTTTTTTGATGTCTCTGGCTCGCTTGGACTAGCTAGCGAACAGTTCCATGTCATGCGTATTGCTATGCTTTGGGTCTCCCAAAAGCTAGTACTTTGGGAATGTAGCTAAATTTCCCTTGATGCCGCGCTCTGTTCCAGCAACCTATCTCACTACTGTAGCAAAGTGGTGTAGAACCTTGAAAAAGTCCCCATGTAAGAGCATGTTGCCTTCGTCCGTCCGTCTTTCACATAGAACGCTAGCTTAAAATGTATCCCAAAACCCCATCTACTTCAGGCTCCCATGCGTACCAGCCCAGGAATCCTCCGCAGACTTGGCAGAGCAAAGATCTCAGCTGGTCAGCGTTTTATCGTCCACGCTTTCGGGTGAGGTGCAGATCATCGATGGTACTCGGACCCCGGTAGTACAAGCTTTGCTTCGTTACAGGTAGTGCTCCTACTTTGCACTTGGCATAGCTCTGGGTACTTACACGAGTTCGGGATTAATTCAGGCTAATTTGGATAGACGAAGCAGAGAAGGAGACATTGCTTTGATCATGTGGATAGTTTTAAGCTGCATTGAGCCCTGCATTAATGCCACTTCTCAGTGTTGCGGGTTAAGATTTTCTGCAGGCTTGCGACTGAGTCGCCTGTCCTTCGGGTTTTCTTCAGAGTATTCCTTCCTATCGCATCCCCACAGGTAAAGGTGATACCCAGAATTCCTGACTATTCCCCATATATCCAAAGGGTCCGTCCTAAGGGTATCCCCGAGGTATGGACACGCTGACCGCGGCGCTAAACATTGCCCGCCTGGTGGCGTTGTCGAAGCTGCCTTTATGCGCGTCTATGCTGCTGGACATGAGTTCGACATGCGTTTTGATTTACGTCGTCGCCCATTGCGTGGGGTATGCGTGCAATCGATATGGGGTATTCTCACAATCCTTGGCCCATTGACGGCAGATGGTATTTTGGCGTACAAAACTGCAAGCCCAATTCTTGAAAACTACCTGTCTGTTGTCTGCTACATGTAGTTTTCGCAGGGCCTCCAAACTCCAAAGCAGCTTCAGGCGAGAGTCCTTGAACAAGCCGCCTTTGCAACTTGTGGCGAAGTTGAACAACATCTCAAAGCAGATTGATGCTGGGACGCATTATGGGGCTTATAGTTGTAGATTGTTTTCCTTGGGCGTTAAGACTTCCTGCAAACGAATATGGAAAGTCCTGTCTGAAGATGTTGAGAGCGCCTCTGAACCCTTGATGCTACGTCTGCGGCTGGCATTCCCTAGCCCCTTTACCCAACCAGCTGCAAATGCAGAAGCGTGAATCATTTTAATTGTAATTTCAATTCCTGAGCACCCCTACGTGTATTACTGTATTATCTGCAATGCAATATGACCAGACCCCAATTCATTCTAATCCTTGAGACCCGCACGTTAGTCAGACCGAACGTTAATCCGACCCTCAGGGGCCTTGACTCAAGGGAGGGAACAAGATCTCTGGCAGGAAGATCTGGTAGAGAAGCCCGAGTAAACCCAAGGACCTGCACCTTAACCTGCATCCTCAGGCCTTGATTTGAAAACCTGCAGAACGCAGCACCTGAGCTCTGAAAACCCACAACTTACGCCCGTGGACCCCGAAAACTGAAGAACACCTGTACCTCCCTACCCTAAAAGAAACAGCAAAGAAGAACCCCCCAGACCAGAAATCATGAACCCTAATACCCCATTTCATGGAGTGTCCATTGGTTTTTACAGGCCCTGAACTAAACGCTGAGCCCCAAAGGGCTTTAGAGCCCTGCTGAACCGCTTCACGCTGGAAGGATGCTGAGCTGGGGATGTTGACCCATTCCTCCCAGCGCCTGGATGTGGGACAAAGGGTTGGGGTTGTGAGGTCGAGGGTTCCGGTCGAGTTTAGGCTTCATGGTTTAGGGTTGGGGTTACGTTTAGGGTTTAGGGTTGAGTTCAGGCATTGTAAGGTTTCGGGGTTGAGTTTTGGCTTGAATGGTTGAGGGCTGAGTTTTAGGCTTCAAGGTGTAGGCTTCAGGGCTGATAAGATCCAAGGTTTTTAGGACTGTGGGTTTCAGAATTCAGGATGCTGGGGTCTGTCTGTGTGTGCTGTATAGCTTCCAGTACTTTCGATTCCCAATGAGCTAGAAAATTTCCGCTGTTGCCAGAAGCCCAGCACCCTACACTCGAGCCTTTATGACACCCTGTACCCTATGTCTTGCAAAACTCACATCCCAAGCCTGATTTTCTCCGCATATTAAGGATTATGGTATTTTGGGGTCTACATTTTTGGGTGATGCCCTTGAGGGTAACTACCACATCTACCTAGGAACGGCTTGTCCCAAGAGCTGGCGCATGCCATGGGCACGGACCAGGCCGTAACTGCTCTTTACTTCGGGTGGGCTCAGGGATGTTTCAGATTCGGTCTTTGGATTTGGATTGTCCTGGGTTTAGGGTTAAGGTTTTAGGTTTCAAGGTTTAGCATGGAACCCTCTGCCCTTGCAAAGTTGATGCTGGCCTGCAATGTCCCCACTTTCAAAAATGCAGGAGTGTTTAGGCGAATGTCCTAGAAAGCCCTTATGGACCCAAAGACAGGATCGATGCTGGACATAGATAGCAGCCCGAAGACATGCTTGAGACCATGCGAGGTGATTCATGCTTCTTTATTTTGCTTCCAAGAGTGACCCAGATAGGAGCAAAACATAGCCAGAGGTGGATCTGAACCAGATGAAGCAAGACCGCATCAACATGGTCGCACACCTGGTGAGCCGAGTTCGCGAGATTCTGCCGCGGTGCCCGGTGGTAGTATGGGCGGGGTGCGTTTGTCAAGCCATTTCCAGGGCAGCCCTTCCCGGAATACCTCCCCACCTCCTGGTGTTTATATTCCCTAAGGCATGCCTGTCTGGAGTTTGAAATAGGGTAATCGTCCCGCCTTGCTAGGGCGGCTTGCTCGGGTGAAATGTTGGCAATCAGAGTTTATCACAGATCAAGTGCCATGTGTGTCCTGCACAGGAGGCTTCAAAAAGACTATGCTACTGTTTTCGACATTCTCATGATTTTCCTCAGCCTCCACATGAACGCAAAAGACCACCAAACTCAAGCTTAAGCATCTAAAGGCGAGTTTGTGGAAACCACCCTCTCACAGAACCTATACTCCCTTCATTAATACAGTCGGAGCCCCATGACGAAGCCCGAAAAGGACAAGTAAATAAGTCAAGTTAAGCAGAAGTAGTAAGAGCCAGAGTAAGAGCAAGAGTGTGAGGTAGAAGGTTCTTATTTGAATTTAGATGGGCGTTGAGTATGTTTCAACAGGCCTCATTTGGATATTGACTTAAATTTGTTTGCTTTTCAGTACTGCTTTTCATTAAGCCGTATTTGGTTGTATATGGATTTTAGCTCAAAATAATGGAATTGTAAAAGGAATTTTCGGTAATGTTGAAGAACTGTTTTTTGTTGATTTTTAGATTGTTTATAAACAGTATTCTAGGGGTTGTCCATTAACTTAAGGAAAGATCCTCTCACGCAAGGTCCTTAAGAGGTAGCTCAGGAAGCAATGTTTCAGGTTTGTATTCCCATCTGAGTTTGAATAAGCAAATCAGGTTTCAGAATCAGCTCTCTTGTTCTCATGTTAGGACCAGCCTTAATTACTATGCAGTTCAAATTTCTGAATCAGCTTTCCTTTTCTGGTTTCAAAAGCAGCCTAGTAATAAGGTCTGTATTCAAATGTTGCGCAACTTATGACCCTGAAGTAGATTGTCATTGTTCTACAGGTCTTTCATCAATGTAGAGAAAGACCACGTCACGAACGATCCGTAAGGGATAGCCCAGGAAGCACTTTCTAAACCTTCGTAATTAATCAGCAAATCAGGTCTCAGAATCTGGTCTCCTATTATATTTATACGTCAGCCACCTTATTGAGGATTTGAGGTTTCAAAGCTTTAGCTTGGACTCTTAGGATTTCAGGCTAAACCTGACACGTTACATGCTGTGAGGGTCTGGAAATTATTTTCTTCAACTCTACGGGGGCTTTGGGGCCCAAATCTGCATCAGCCTTGGGAGGGCTCCTGGACCCAAAATTTGGCAATTATGATTTTCTTTAAAGCTTGGGGTTTCATTAATCAAGAGCATGATTAATTTTACCTTAAACCTACACTCTGACACAAGCTCTGAACTCTGTGAACCCGGATACCTAAACCCTGAGTTTTGTTTGGGATCCAGGCTACTCGCCGGGAAGAAGGAGCCAATAGAAGCCTCCACCCACCCTTCACAACAGTGTAGGCTCTAGATTATCCACTCCTGGGCACTTTTCCTTTGCTTGTAGCAATGCTTGGTACTGGAGGTTTTGGATGAAAAAGGGTATATGCATCAGTGACATCTAGTCCCAAATGCCATACGAGAGGGCTGAACCCGGAACCCTGAGCATTCAGGTTGCAGGCCTCGAAGATGTAACCCACGAGACTTCAAAAGCGCCTGTTCTTATTGCTACCATTCTTGAAGCTGTGTGGTCATTGTTATAGCGGAACCCTAAACTCCATGCTACTGCTGATGCGATTCTCCCCGTGGCCCCGCGGTCTTCATGAACACTTTAGGTAACCTCTAGGCTTGTGAGCCCCTACCGGCCCTTGCCCCTACCTAGACCTCCCCAGTACTTTCAATTCCAGCCTTAATTTTCAAACCCATGACGGAGGAATCAAGTAGTTCTCTGTGAGGTCTAGGTAACCCTCGTTTCTGAAGAGCTGAGGTCAGAGGACACGACGACCTGAAAAAGTAGATCTGGGGGTTTCTCCAAAGAAGGGTACTCCGGAGACCCAAGTATAAAGGGATTACAAGAGAGTATAATGGTCCCTCCCTGGGATCATTCAGGGATCATTTTTGGAGAAGCCACCATGTAGGAATCTAGGGCCGGAGCGTTAGTGGTGTTGGGCTTGAATGTTGAAGGATCGGATGTGGATCAAGGGCTCAAGGATTGCTTTACGATGTGTTGGAATGCGAAGATTGAAAGTTGATAGTTGATATATTGTGAAAGAGTGGTCAACTACATTTCGTTGCAGTGTAGCACGTAGTTGATCTTACCTTCCTGACTCAAAGCTGCATTAATGGCCAAACAAGCCTACCTGCCTTTGATAGTAAGTACGCTACCAGTAGCGTCATTAGCCCCAGCCAAGAGTCAGTCCTAAGGTTTGTAGGGTGCAGTTAGGGAATGACGGAGCAGCTGGGACCTGCTTATCTGACTACGCATGTCAGATACAAATATCATTCCAGGCTTCAAAGCATTTGAAACTCGAGGGGACTGTCCAGTGCGGGAGGATCATACTTAAGATCCGAAATTTGAAGCCCTCAACCTCTTCTCTCTGGTGGCATCTGCTTGTGCGATCGTGCGAAACAGGCGTTTTGAGAGAGTTGTGCGCCACAGCTATCCACAGACACATCCCAAAGGACTTGCTTTCAGCTGTCTCATTCTCTGCTTGATGTTGAGCTTCTTGAATATGGTAGCTTCCACAAGTTGCCGGACCCAGGCAGCTTGACGCAAATCCAGAGAGTCCTAAAACCATCGTCAAGAAACATGAAAGGGGGCCATGTAATCCAGACAATTAGTGCTGCTTGCGCAAAAATACAAACCCTGGGTCTAGGATCCTGGAACACATCATTCTGCGACTTAGGGCTTACCCCAACCTGAACCCTGAACCGTCTATTTCCCTGCCTTGAACATTAAACTGAGCCATAGCCCTAAATCCCAAACCACACCCTTAGCGGACGCCCTTTGCCAGACGCGGGAAGGCCAAATCCTTGCTCTAAGTTTGGGGTTGAGGGCTTGGCGTTGGGGAGGTTGGTTTGGTTGATTTCAGGTTTGATGCTTCAGGTTTCCTGTAAGCCCGTCGACTCCTTCGTGATGCAAGAGGCTATGCTCTGCTGTCAATTTCTGAATTCTTTTCGTGTTGAAGCAGGACCCCAGAGATCGCAGGCAGCATGCAGGAAGATCACTAAGGATCTTAGTGCCTCCTAATGAGGCAGATATATTCTTGTAGTTTCTTTACGTTCCCAGAGGGGTTGCGGGGATACGCAGCTGGCACGGATCCTGTAGAGCCGCCGCTTTCCACGTGTTGAAGCTGCTGGTCCTAGCCACTTCTTGCGTCGTGCCAGTATAATTTGATAATGCTCGGCCTTCTCACTGACTGTTGTCCTGCAACCATCCAAGTGCGCCTGAGTTGATTTTGTGGTTTTGGGATTTGTTAGTTGACAATGGAACCACTCGACTTTACATGAGATTCTCAGTATCCCGAAGCGCCTTGGCGAGGCCGACAACAGTTCTGAAGCAGGTGGCGTAGGGAGGGATTGGGGAGGTCAAGGATTTAAGCAGGGCAGTTCAGGAAGTGTGTGGGAGGTAGTTGCTGGGGGGTAGGGGAGTTGTATGGCTTGGCAGGGTGGAATTCTGTTAAGGTAAGGAGGTGTAGGGTTGGGTTTGCGGAGTGAGGGTTTAGGGATAAGTTCACCCCAAACAGGATGCCAACATTCGCCTTTGGTTCTCAATTCGTTTGGCACCTCTCTGTATATGAGACCGAATCCAACAGCCCCTTCACAGCAACTACATGTCCCGCAAACTTCAAAGAGCAGCGCGCGTCATTGTCACACCCACGCGTTCTCTCGAGAGGAAAGAAACTGGGCAAATATTCACGAATTCACCTGGCATCACCGCACGGGTCTGTGTAGTTGATAAGGTGATCCGGTCTTTGTGCCCGATTCTTCTTGCGGAGTGCTTCTGGAGTGCATAATGAGTCTCAGTCATTGTGTCGTTTACATGATATTATGGTCTGCGCGGTAGTTGTTACGCAAGACTCCCCGAGATTCATAGGGGACGTCATGAAACAACGGGCTTAATTCATCTAGGCTAGGGTTGGTAGAGCATCCAATGAAGAGCCCAAAAGAAATTGCAAAAGCATAGAGGCCCGATGAATACTTTTGATGCCGTTTCATATGCAAGACAGCAGGAGCACCACCTGCGAGGATTTTCTATTACTATGGTTACTATTGTTCCCCGTTATTACTGTCAAAATTACTACCATCACTATTGTTGTTACCACCATTTTAACGTTTCTGGGCAGCAGGGCCAATTGTTATATGGGGTTCCTGTGAATCTGTGACGGTACGTGCTTATGTACGCATGTTCCTCCCCCCATGACCGCAACCTTGAATCCTTTGTTATGTGGCTCCACGCGAGGGGCCAGACCCCAAAGTTCTGATGACTCGATCTTGTCATGTAGCAGTAGGGTTGCAGGGTACAAGGTTATAGGGTTTAGGTACGACGTATTTTCCGCTCAGCGTTCAAAGTTGGCAATTCAGGATTTAGTGTTGTACCCAGATTTTGGTGTAAGTAGAACAGCCCAAGCAGTGGGTGCCTCAGAGCAAAGTTCCTTGTGGCCGGCAGGGGCGAAGGGCCTAATTAGGGTGTAGGATGTAGCTTTCGGGCTTAGGGTTGAGGATTTAGGGTTAGTGGTATATCAAGAGTCCTTGCTCTGAGATGCAGATTGCCAAAGCTGCGGGTACAGGTGTGGCGTCCTTCCCTTTCGAGGTAATTGTCCAAGTCAGCTTTATGGGCTGCTCGGGTTACCCCTAGCCGCTCTAGCCCTCAGCCGTGCAGCTTGGATTGTGCTTTTTTTGGACTTGGCGCCTGCCAGAAGCCAAGTGGCTGCAGCAGCGAAGCAACCATGATGCTCACGAAGCCAACAGCCGCAAAGAGGTGACATAAGCATGCC